CCTCAGCTGAGCTCTTTCAGCTCTGTTCCCTTGCTTGCTTGATTTGTCGCCCTCCTGCACGCACCCAGGGCCTCGCGCTGGCACCCCCTTCTTGTCCCAAAAGCGTGCTTGGTGACCTCTGTGCTCATCCGGCAGCTTTTGCGCAGCGGGAGTACACGATGGCCGCGGTTTCGTTTTGCTTTTAACGTGTTAAGCCGCGTGCGTTGGAGGCCTAGGAGAGGCAGCCACCGCCGGGGAGGTGGGACGCGTCCGTGCGAATGCCTCGGGTTGCCGTGAGGGAAGCCGGCGAGCGTGCTCGCTTGGATCCGCTCTAGCGGGTTCTCTCTTCCTTCTCCCTCTTGGCATCTTTCTGCCACGCGCTTGAGTACGAGCTGAGCGCCTGAGCTGTCGCCCTGGTACTTCTGGTGCAAATGAATTGAAATGAGTGTAAATGCGGGAGCAGCTGGGGGGGAGCTGGGGTGGCTGCGGGGGCAGAGCACCCACCTCTCCCCTGCGATGTCTGTCTCCGCAGGGTGATGCGAGAAGGAGCCCGGCATGCCTTATCTGGACCGACAGAACCGTATCTGTGGGTTTCTGGACATTGAAGAAAATGAGACCTGCGGCAAGTTTCTGCGGAGGTATTTCATCCTGGACACCCAGGCCAACTGCCTGCTGTGGTACATGGACAACCCTCAGGTAGGACCCCGGAGCGAGAGTCGGTGTCCCCGTTAAACACCTCCCGCTCCGAGCTGCGTTCCTGCCTCCCGCTTGGTCTCTGAAGTCGCTCCGTGCAGCAGCCCGGTGCAGAGGTCCTCTCCTCATTGCAACTGCTTTGCGCGCAACGATCTTTTTCTCCCAAGTTAGCTTACAAACTTGACTGTCCCTCTGCTGCTCGGACACTAATTATTTGTCTAAACAAATGTCTTTATTTTGATACACTATTGCCTGAGGCCCTGGGTCTGATGTTTGACTTTGGCCTCCTGCTTATGTTTGGCTGTTTTGGAGCCTCAGTTAAGATAAACAACGATAGTGGCCGCAGCCCTGGGAAAGCGGGTTTCCCTGCGCCTGGACCCGCGGGTGTTTCCTCCGCGGTTTGGGACGGTTTGCAGCCGCTGATGGTACGAGGCTGTGAAGCCGTCCTTGGGGACTGTGCACAGCGAAACCCTCCCCGCGATTTGTTCGTTGGGTCGTTTTGATGTGCAGCAGCCCCTGGTTGCCCTTGCAGGTGTCGGTACCAAAGTGGCCTTGGGGATGTCGGTCCATGACCAAGGGCTTGGTGCCACCTGCTCTGGTATGCTCTGGGGACGCTCTGCCCTCTCGCACGCTGCTAATTTTGCCTGGTGTTTTAAGCGATGTAGAAAAGAGCCATTCTGTGTGTGTGGCTTGCTGTTGTTTTTAAAGAGAGAGCAGTCTGGGAGAGAGCGTGTTGGGTCTTGGGGACAGCACTGTCCGTCACGTTGGTGCATATTCCAGCACAGCTGAATTAGAGGGAAATGCTTTTTTCCTGAGAGCGGGGTGAAGCGCAAGAGCAGGACTTTCCCCCCCATCATCTATTGCTCAGTCTCATTTTGTTTTCCAAAGCTGGGGTTGAATTTTCCACTCCCAGCAGCCTCGTCCAAAGCCTGGTGAAGTCTATGGGAAAGCTGTGGGTCTTGTCCTGCGTGGGGTGAAGCTGCTGTCCCGGGACGCAGCAGCGGTGTTGGTCCTGGCTGCATCTGGAAGCAATCTGTCGCTTCCAAGCAGCCCGAGCTGGTTTCTGTGCAGGACTTTCTCTCCGAGGAAACGGGAACACAATGGGATCGCATCTGTTATCAGTATGCATGGCGTGTGTCACAAACACTCCTAAACTTCCCCTCCACGTTTCTTTAGACATCGAATCCAAAGAAAATAAACCTAGAATTCTTCCTTGCATGCATTTGGCTGCGTGACAGCGTGCGCAGCCCCAAGCCTCCAGGCCTCTCTAAGCTGTGTGCAAGGTCCAGAGATAATCCAAGATGGTACCAGCCAACGAGACCTACTCATCGCTGCACTGAGCAGCAGCATTGAGCAGCAGCATTGTCCTCCTTGGTCCCGTTCTGCTAAAAATGGAAGTAGAATATAATCTGCAGAAGGTTCTGCGTGGTCCAAGTCCACTTCCAGGTCTCCCGCTCCGGTCGCAAGCTTTACGCTGGGCCTGTGCTGAAGGTCGTGGAAGTTGGTGCATCTTTAAAACGTTCCTAACATCTCCGCTGAGTAGGCCTGAGGGGAGCATCTCCTGGGAGCCACAGAAGGACCCTGTGCAGGAAGATTCGTGCCTTGTAGGATATCCGTCAGCCTCTCCGTGGCCGAGTGCGGCGGCAAGGAGCTCCAGCAGGGCGGCCTTCGTGGTTCACGCCGCGCGACCTCGGAGGAGCAGGCACAAGCACTGGGCCAATTTGGGAGTGGTACATCTCCCAAATATTTGTCATCATGGAGGTGGTGTCATACAGCAAATGTTCTTCTTAGACGGGGAGCTGGATGACTGGAGTAGCTGGAGTCTGTGCCTGTCACCCCTGACATCTCTGGGAGCTGCCCTAGTGCTTGTTCTCAAGCTGAAAATAATAAGAACCAAAGATGAGCTCCAGGAAGACCCTCCTGGAAATCCCATGCTGCTTGAGAGCTGCTCATAGTGCTGTGGCCTCTCAAGGCTAGGGAGACACCTGACTTCTTGAAGTGCATCTCACAGCAAAATCTTTATTTCATTCTTAAAAAGGGAAGGGGAAGCCCCCGGCCTCATGTCCACGAGCCTCCTGACAGGTGTCAGCACAAGCTTGCACTTTTGGGGCAAGACGAGGTAGAAGTCGGAGCCCCTGTCTTGCACCTTGGCCTGGTGGCGGTGAGCGGGGCTGGCAGTTGTGGCCTGGGAGCGTTGCAGCTGCAGCCAGGCACTGCGCTCGGGTGCCGTAACCCATGTGCAATCTCAGCTGGTTAGGGTGTGAGGTGAAGGAGTTGCACAGAGAAACGAAAGGGCAGAGGGCAGGAGCGCGGCTGTTGCTCTAGCTGCTCGACCCCAATGACTCTAAATGATAGCGTGGCTTGTCTCGTTTGTCTTCTCCCTGTCATTTAGCTCCCATTGCTCATTAAATGTTTTGCAGAACCTGGCTATCGGAGCGGGTGCCGTTGGATCTTTGCAGCTGACCTACATCTCCAAGGTAATGTCAGGGTGGGGCGAAGGGCAGACGAAGGCTCTGCGTTGTCCCCTTATCCGAGCAGCTTTCCCAGGAGAGGCAGTGACTCGCCCCAGCAGCACCCGAGGCGAGATCCGCGCTCAGCCGCGCGATCCTCCCTC